CTTATGAATATTTTAAAATTTGTTAGACGTTTTTATGTACATTATTCAACGCACGTTTTATTTTAAAACAAATAGAGACGCACAGGTAATTTTTAGTACATAAACATCATCTTAACATATATTTTCTTCGAAGATCTTTGTAGTTTACATATAGATCGATTGAGATAAGTATAATTTACTGCTTTAAATATCTCACTAAATTTTATGCATTTTGTAGTAGGGGAGAGTAGTACACATTGAAACAAAAAAAAAACGTTTTTAAATTCAAAAAATTTATTTTTGAATTAAAAGAAAAATTTTTAATTTAGTATGTTACACTAACTCTTTCTTAACATTCTAAGGACAAAATTCGCTAAAAATTCACATAATGAAAAAAATAGAACTTAAAAAAAATTAGCACCTTATTAGCACTTCGGAAATATTCAGGTTGTTCAGGAATCAAATTATCATCATCATCTGAGGAGTCGGCTAGTTGGATATCACTTTCTTCAGTGCAGTAAGACTGTTTTTTGCCGTTTAATTAATGTAATTGTTGTAGGGAACTCCTTTAAACGATCTTTATCCATTTTACTAATTAGTGCTTTCCCTTTACCTTTCTTTCTCCATCAACGCATCTTTCTCGGGTGTGTCAGTAATAATTGTGATTTTATCTCTCTCCTTAGATTTCCTGTTAGCTTTACGGGTGGTTTTGGATACACTCTGAAGTCTTGTGGACTAGCAAATGTTGGAAGTTTATTATCCATGGTTGTTTCTAGCTGAAATCCTATGTTAGATGGTCCAGGTTCACTTTTCCTGGAGTAATCTCGTTCTGAAGTTGTGCGCCAGATGGTCCACCACGTTCAGTATCTGGTGTAGTCTATTTACGAAATTGCAAGGTGGCAGGTCCAGGTAATTCATAATCGAGGACATCTTTCCGTTGTAGCCTGTCAGATATACTGCTAATGTTAAAAAGTCTGTGCCGTCAAAGATTGGAGAATTAAATGGATAAATTCCATTTTTCTGGAATCCTGACATTATATGGGAAAGAGTTAAGGATTTTGCATGAGCTTTTCCAACACATTCGGCTATTTGGTAAATAGTCGTGGAAATTGTCATGAGAAATGTCGTAGAAGCCAAGAATCAATACCAACATGTTAATGTACTTTGACTGGTCCAAAGACCGATATATCTAAGGCTGCATTTTGTGACTACAGTGTGGAGGTAGGGTCAAAATTGTCAGACCTGCAGCTCAACGGCTGCTCTCTTTCAAGAACGTCAACAGATATATGGCTTTCATGATTATCATATATTAGACAGGAGTATTGTCAGATGTACTATGTGAATACTTTATGAAATGGTCAAGAACATGTGAAAAGAGTTCGGCCGCCATGCAACCATTGGGCGTTGCTAATTCCAGTGTACCTCGAGTTACTCCAGCTACCATGTGAGTTTTGAAATATTTTCTCGGAAACACCATTGCTGGGGGAAGATATGTGCCGTTAGCACAAATGATTGCGCAAGTTGTTACTAGAGTTCGACGTTCGGCACTGCTACATTGACTAACTTGTTTAGAACCCTACAATTTTTCTGGATTTTTGCACAGTGCTAGTACCCGTTTTATCAGGATTAAAAATTCTAGATGCATTAACTACTTGAGGTTTCTTTTCAAATATTTGGTGTAATTGATTAAAAAATGTTTTCACATTGTGTGAAATTGTCGTAGCCAATCAACCCCATCTCCCTCCGCCATCACCCACGTAAGACTACTGTACTCTTTTGTGGACAATCCATATGCTATCCATATACTCTACTAATCTACTTCCTGTTCCTCTGTAAAAATTTGTCAGACGGAATAATTTAGTGACATTTTTATATTTGAGTCAGGATTATTGCGTTTTTTGACCACTTATCATCGTTAAGTTACAAAACTAATATATCTCTCGGCTGCTTCACGTAGAGAAAAATTTTCCTCTAATAACAACTTTGTGGCAGCAGCCATTACATCTGTAGATGTATTCACTATTTTCCTAGACGTTTGATTTCTAACCATCTGAAATACCAAAATAACAAATTGTTGGTAATAATTTATAATATTAAATCTTGCCATACTTTGGATTTCGTATGACCCTCATTCAACCACGTTTCGTCCGTATAATAAATATTTTTACCAAGTCGTCTAAAATCACGAATTTTTTGCAAATGTTTTCTCCTCCATATCACTAATTCGCCTCTCTCGATAAACAAACTTTTCCTATTTCTCTTCACATACCGAAAATCCATTTCATGTAAACTTCTTTGTAATACTCTCATGGATATTTTATTTAAAGTATTATCTGCGTCTGCATGAACTTCTCGTTGAATAGCCTTTAACGTGGGCAGTTCGTTCCTAAAATAACATCCATGAACTTTTCTTCGGATTAAACTTTTCGTACTATCGTCCAATACAATTTTTGCACGTTTTTGGATAGGTTTGTTACCTTGAATTATTCGGAAAACGTACGAGCCGATACTTTCGTGAAATCTCCACACAATACCGCGACGTCCTCTATAAGCATATCTTGATATCTTCTACGCAATCCCCCATAAATCGATTTTATCATTTGCTTTTCTCTCTCAGATAACCACCTTTTTTTATTTTGTTTATTAATGATGTGTGAACTCTATAGAATATACCAGGAACCAGATATCGTAAAACACATTAAGATAGGACGTCTGAGGTGGGTAGGCCATGTAATGCGGATGGAGCAAACCGACCCAGCTAGAAAAACGCTCCTTGATAGACGTATTGGTCAAAGAAGAAGAGGAAGACCCAGAACAAGATTCCTAGATAACAGACCAAGATATGAGAAATATGGAAATTGATGCTTTGAAGTTTTGATGCCATGATGTTACCCGACGGTACGCTCATGAAATACTACCAGGCACCTGATTTTATTGGTTATTTGTGGGTGAATTTTCACAATGTTGCCGTATTGCATTAAGAATATCACTTTCGAAAAGAAATAACGGTGTCCGCCTGTCTCTCTATTGGCACTCAGGGTATACCTCAATGGCACGGATAAGCTGCAAGCGGTACTAAATAATAAATTTCGCTACAAGGCGAGTGTACCTTCTCTAGATCGGACTTCCAACAGATGTAACCGGTAAAAATGATAATTGAGAAGTAGATTTGTGTGCTAATAAAGAAATAAATATATATAGCTGCTTACCATCGAGTGTTAACGAACTACAAAATGTCTGCCCTGACAATCCTATTGAATTCAGGGTATAGGCTATATTATTAAATAGGTGCAAAGCCATTTTAATCGTAAGAATGCTTGAAATCGGCTGTTAATAAATAAAAAACACATGCCAACTACTCTTAAGTTACTACATACCTTTAAAAAACATAAAATCCAATTATTATTCGCAAAACTTATTCCACGCATGTGAACGCTAACAACATTCAACTCTACTGGACAACTGTAGATTTCACAAATGCGCTTTACGAGGGCGTCAAATTTAAAAATAAATTTCGGTGTTTCACTGTGAACCATGTATCACTATGTACGACTTTCCCCTAACCAAAACCGATTTTTAAAATGCATATGTTACGGAAAAGTATGAGTAAGAGTTAAAGAAAATGGCTGAAATGGGCAGAAATAATTATAAAAGTTTTTCTTACTAATATTGTACTTGAATCCTAAGTAAACGCTTAAAATATTTTAATATGTATTTATATAATTATTGTAATTTATTATTGGTAGAAAAGGGACCGATTTAACATATTTGGATAAACAAAATTGTTGTGTATTTTACTTTTAATAATAACTATCGTTTTTTTATTCGTCTTTTATTTCAAAATAATTCCCTTTTTGATACAAAGTATTAAATACTTGAAGAATTATACAGTGAACGGCTAAATTATGGAAGATCATCATTATTTCGAGAACCGTCCAGTTTTAAAATAATAATTTTTATGTTGTTGTTCAGACATTGCGTATATGTGCTTTCCAGTTTCTCGTAAAATATGTCCTCCTCGTCTTCTTTATCTTCAGTGGGAGCGTGGATATTGATAATGCTATAATTAAAGAACCTGCCTTTAATTCGGATTCTACCTCTCCTTGGACTTATTGGATCGAAAGCTATGACTTCTGCTTTCAATTGTTTATTCAATATGAATCCCATGCCAAAAATATGATTATTTTTATCTCCGCTGTAGTAGAGAGTGCAGTCTTTTTTTCTAGGTTAGCATTACCTGTTCACCTGATTTCTTGAAGTGCTATAATGTCTGCTGAATATTCATTAAGTGTATTGGACAGACTTCCTAGTTTACCTGCACTATACAGCGTATGCACATTCCAAGTAAATAAACCAATATCATTAACCTTGTTTTGGTTGCCAAGTTGTCGACAAAAAATCTATCAGGCTGATTGTTTTGAAGTTTCTTTAACAGAAGAATTTTTACAGGAGGGGTATTAACCCACTGCCCAACCTGGAGGACCAGTTCACCTGCTCTTGTCAGTTGCTGACCCAACCTTCCACCCAGGTTAGATACCAGATCTCCAGTTAGGTTGCTCGGTTTAACAGGGGACACCAATGTGAAGGTTAGAGGTTTCCAAATATTAATCTGTCAAAATATGCCTGAGCCAACCAAATGGACCTTAATTGTGCAACAAAGCACTGCAATTTGCAAAAATTTGGCGCAACCCAAGATATACAATGGAAGTGAGTGGGAATTGATTTTACTGAATTAAAATTGAAAAATACTGACTTGTATCCAGTGTATCTGTATTCGCTTTAATATCTTCATTTGCATAGTCACTTTTATTGAGTTCTCTGCACCAATCGTTTTAAATAACACAATTATTGGAGGATTTTCACATTTGGTCCCATTGAAGATAGCTTCAAATGGGTTTGACAGTGTTGATTTTATCCCTTCTAATTCCCTGATAGGTATATTAAATATTTATATAGGGAAATACTTTCTGAATTTATTGCCTAACCTAAGATACTTATTATAAAACAAAAACTTCACCTTGGACAATTTTTAATACATTTATTTACAACTAAAAACATCTACAATAATTAATTATTTAGTAACTGTCATAGGCAGGACCTTTGGCATATTTATTTTCTGATGTTCTCTCACCAGCAAAATGTTGACGGTGCCTTTCATTTCTCATGGCGACCATTCGTTTAAACTGTTTTGTTTTCAAAGCACATTCCCTGAAGTCTTCTATCAGATCATCACATTTTCTTAAGCCTTTGTCTAATCCATATGCATCTAGACAGTCTAAAACTTTTAACTCCATATCAGCACATTCTCCATACCATTGGTGATTTACTAGGGATCCCGTTAAGTCTGTAAAAGGGGACTTCAACCATGGTGATAAGGACATTATTGCTAAAAACAGAGTATTTTGTTATATCATCATGTCAAATTTAATAATAAACTATATATGGTTTAAAATTACATGGATAGACCTTTAAAATCTAGGTATATATATTTAATTACCTTCTAAGGATTTAAATTAATACAAACTGTAATAAATGTGGATAAAATTGTATCAAAAGTAATTTAAAGAAAATAATGAAATGCAACTGTCAGAAGTATTAAATGTCATTAAAATAAAATGGTTGACAACTTGACATACTGAAGCACAGAATAATAAATAATTTGTTTATTATTCTGTGACTGAAGTTTCTTCGTAGTAAAATTACTGTAAATGATTGAGCTATTAAGCCAAGTTCCGAAATAGCGTGAACATGCATTGGCGTAGGTGTTTTTAATTTAGTAAATATTTAAAATTATCGTAAAAAACTTTTATAATTGTAATACAAATAAATGCAATTTGATAAAAAAAAAACTATTCGATTTGTGTAATTAAAAACATGTATTTTATAGATTATTTTTGTTTTTTCGGTGTTCATTTTTAAAAACCTAAAAATTTTTGTTACTTCGCCTATGGAAAAAGAAGTAAAATTTTAATCCTGCTAACTTCACACTGGTAACAGAGGAAGAGGTCAAGGCCGCATTTGAAAAACACGAACGTAGGATCACCTGCATAGGGTTTAATAACATTAGGAGTACGGTAAATAAGAAAATTGAATTTATTTATAAGTACAAGTCAACATTTCAACTTTTTGCTCTGGTAATATGCGATAAAACGGAAAATCCGCAAATTCACAAGTGGGAAAGGTAAGTCATAAATTTTTGTTAACTGTAATAAAAACACGTCAGATGTTTTGTCTGGAATATACCACTATAATTTTACCAGTCATGTTCAACCTTTCTCTTTTGTCTTAAAGGTTTTTTTTTTTAATCTTTTTTCTATTTTAGTGACTGTTTAGTAGCTAGGCTTAAAATTGCTCAGTAATCAAAATGACAATGTTAAGTGCAGATGCACAAATCCGATATTTGGTCCAGTGGTTTCAGGAGTGGAGTGAATTTCAAAGATCTGATTTTTTGCCGATATTGGCGGAAAAATATGCAAATAAGGCGTATGTAAACGGGATTATTAACAGTATTTCAAATGTTGATTGTAGAGACAAACCTATGTCTCTGTTTGAATGTAGAGTAAGTATTTCTTGTAAAACATTTTAGAGGCTTCTTTTTGTAAATAGTTTTTGTAATTAAAATTTATGAGCTACATGAGAATGGATTTTAATTGCACCCTTCTTGTTTGGTCAAAATATTTTTCCTATTTATAGACATAAGTACAACAGTCTTTGTGTGACATGTTTTTGGAAACATACCAATGTGCAAATATTTTCATTTTAATTATCATGTGCTTACATTTTACTGTTATTTTTTAGAGATATTATACTTGGTATGTTTTTGAAGTTATTCAAAAAAAGAAATTTTAAGTTTTTAATTGTATACTCTACTAGAATGTGGTCAAGTATTTTGGTTCAACAAATATAAGAACAGGAAAAAAGGAAAAAAACATTATTTTTTACTTTACATATAAGCAGATTCATTGCAGCAAATATTGTGTAGCTAACTATAGATTGTTTATCTTAATTTTTATATTATTAATGTCTTACACATAGTTATTTTTTAGGTGAAACTATTCAAAGAATGGTTTATACATTGGACTACTGACCAAAAACAAAACTTTTTGGCTCAAATATCTGAAATAGATTCAGTTTTTGCCGAAAAACTAAATGGAGAAATCCAAAATGGTGTTGTTCATGAACCTCACCAAGACATAAATGGAGAGGATATTTTGGAAGACTAATCAAATTAATAAATATTTATTTTTACATACATCTCGAATATATATTATGCACTGAATATTATTTTCCTCTAATATCTAGATCAATTTCTGACTCTTTCAATTGTTTGTAATAACTTCGACTTGATGATATGCAAATAGTATTTAATGTGATATTTTTCTAGATGGTATTTATACTAAATATAGTTTAAAATGTTTATAAATTTATAAACATATGTTATTTATATCTAATTATCGTAAGAAAAATGGCAACTATCTTGTAAACTTAGTATATACTTGTTGGGAAGCATTTTCATTTTGTTTTCATCGCAATAAAAGAACTTTAGTACATTAATGTTGTGTTTTAGTTACTTGCATCATTGTCATTGCCTGTACTTTACTTTTGGTATTCATACTTTTATGCTGTATTGATACAATTGGCTTTGTTCTTCCTGGTCGTAAATCATCACATAAAAACTGCAAAATTATGCTACAATGTAACATAATAGATTGAAGTTGTTGTCGCACACAAATCCAGTATAAAAGAAATTTTGTAAGTACACACTTTATTTATACAAAGTATCATTTTGAATTTTAATGCTTCAAATAGAACCTAAAGATATTGATACATAAATGGTAACATGGAAAAGTAAATTCTGAAGCAGTGAACAGGAAAGAATATGCAAAACAAATTAGCTGAAACAATTCAAGAGATTGGATGGAAAAATAATGATCAAGTCAATTCTGGTGAGAAGAGACAATCTAGATTCGAGAAATTGATCACACAAGAATATAGAATATAGCCAGCCTATGCAGTTTAAGACAACAGCATTTCAGAAATCTTTGAATTCTCTCTAACTTTTTGATACATTGCTTGAGTAACAGAGTTGAATTTTCAACTTGGGAGCAGACAAGAAAAAATTAAAATTTTTAGAGACGCAATCCTACGAAATTTTCTGCTGTTTTTTAATGAAACCAAGCCATTTCATAGCTTTGTTGCATATTAGATCTATTTGCAGATTAAAGGACAAATTCCTGTGAAAAACCATACTTATATCTGTGACATTGACTCTCCTGATCAAAATACTCTCTAAATTATAATTAAATATGATAAGACTTCAAGAGATCTATAAAACTGGATCACCCGATATTTTTCATGATTAATAATTCATTTGTTATTATCACACCAGTTCGCAAAATTGTCCAATGATTCCTGTCTTCTTCTTTGAGTGCCTCTCCTATTGTAGATTGGATATCATTAGGGCGATTTTAATTTTATTAACTGCTTTTTGAATAATTCGTTAGTGGTACAGCCAAACCACTCTTTTAAATTTCTCATCCAGGACATTCTTCTGCATCCTTGAATTTTTCCTTGCTTTATATTTTGTAGGAATGTGAACTTTTGTCCTCTCATCAGGTGGCCTAAGCATTCAAGTTTTCTCTTTTTTATATTCAGTATAACTTCTGGATCGTTATTTATTCTGCATATTACCTCTTCATTTGTAATTTTATCCACCCAACTTATTTTTTGAGTAGATTGCGGTAGCAGCACATCTCAAAGCTTTCAAGATGTTTAACATTCTTCTTGAATAATTTCTGTAACCCAATGCAATCAGAATGGTCTCAAAAAATATAAAATAATTTTGTCATCTGCACATGCTAAGACTTCACAGTGAGACAAGCATAGAAGAAGTCCTAAATAAACACTTCAAAGCTTGGAAAGTATTCAGTTAAAGTAAAGTCCTTCAGTTTGACACAGAAAGATTGCACAATTGCACAAAAACTAAAGTTTATGCAATAAAGGTCAATGATCTACCCTGCCAAACACTTAGATAAGTTAGTATAAATGGCATTCACCTGAGAACTGTTTTTCTATACATTTATAATGTAATCAGTGTAAACTAATTGATTGGTAGAGGTTGAACGATCAGGTAGGAACCCATGCTGATTTTAGTCTTAAATAGTTATTTCTTTGCTTATTAAAGACACTAGTGAGTTAATTCAGTGTCTTATATTTATAATAAAGCTGCTAATAAAAAGAAACACATGATGTTAAGAAATAAATTTATTATACACATTCATTTTTACAACTGACAAATCCAGTCTCATTTTTTATTTAAAAAATGTTTACTATCAGCTAAGACTTAATAATAGTTTGTGATAAAACTAGAAACACATTTACCAAAACAATATAATTATATATATAACCATGTTAGAGGTTCTGACGAACATTGTAAAGTATAAAAAATCTAGTTATTAAAATTAAATAACACTTAAATAGATGACAGCCAATATGTTGATTGGGCTCAACATTTCTAAAGAGTGATATTTCCTTTGACAATCTTATTTGTGACAACTTCATTTCCAGAAATTATTGCAACTCTTGATGGTTTATCTACAACAAATATAAATTATTAAAGACTTAAACATTAAAACAAATATAGAACCATTAGAAAAAGTGGTAATTAAGATCATATTATGTCATATAATCACGTAAATATACTGCTTTCTAGTAGTCTATTCACCACACTAAATGATGTAAAAATGACCATTTGACATCGTCTACAGTCCCTTCCCATATCAGTTGGTCAAAAGTTTGAAAGGAGAATTAAATTTTAGAGAACAAAAACAGAAGTCCAGAGTAAACTTGAAAAGTTTTAATGCATCAAACAACATTTTTGAATTTCCATAATTATAGAAAATAGTTTTCAAATTAATGAAAATAATTAATTAAACATAGTAATAACAAATTAAAAAAACACATAGAATATGTAATATTAACCAAAAAACATGTGAAAGTTTACCACTGAGTGATATCTCCTTTATTTTTAATTAATTGTTTTTTAAATAAATTAATTTTGGAGTCAAAAATATTTATTTGTCTTGGCAGGCTATTTACTCCGGACCAATTGTGTAGTTGATTCATTGATACCATAATTAGTGTGGTGAAATCGCACTGAAAAGATTTTTTACTGACTGTTGTTTCTATTGGGTACTTTTGAGAGTAATGAGTGAAAACAATTCAAGAAAAATCCATAATAATAGCATTAATGACTTTGTGCAGGAACCATAAATCTGAAAATGTCCTCCTTGATGTAAGTATTGGTAAATCAATACTGTCTCTTACCAACTGATAGTCATATTCATCTCTCCTGTATCCTAAATCTTATTAAAAGCCTTAAAAATTTATTTTGGACCCTTTCAATCTCTTCAATATAACAGTTGTATGATGGGTAGCATACAACTGATTCATACTCTAGAATGAACCTAACAAGACTGCAATGAAGTCTTCAAAATGTGAAAAAAGACAGGTCTACAGATGTGCATTGGATAAATCCCAGTACTTTCATTGCCCTTTGATTGATATGGCTTGGAAATGACAGTTTTGGGTCTAACCAGATTCCCAAGTCTGATACTTAATTTTTGGAGACCAATGGCAAGTTTAGTATAGAGTAAACACATGTAATTGGTTTTCTTTCCCTCGAAAATGTCATTTTATGACATTTGTTTATGTTAGGTGACAATTTGTTTAAACTGTACCAATCATAAAATTTAATCTTCCTTTAATAAATTAATAAAGATTTAAAATTTTCCTGTAATAGAACAACATCATTCCAGAATTTCATTTGTCTAAACAGTTTTACATCAGCAAACATAAGAACAGTACAATTTTTGATTTTTTGTACTAAATCAACCAGAGACAAGCAAAATAAATCAGGGCCACAATGGAAGCCTTGTGGCACCCCTTATGGTACCATTATTTCAAATGAGTTATCACTCCCCAAATTAACTGTCTGTGTATAACAAAGCACTTAGTTTTTGCAAGAGGACCCCGTGGTTAAGCCAATCAAACGCTATGGAAAAGTAAGTATAAATTGAGTCAACCTAGAATTCCTCTTTAAAGCTGAATATGATTGGCATACAAAACTAGATTGGCATCTGTCGACCTCACTCTCATAAAGCCAAATGGTTCATTTTTACTGACCAACAATCAAGCAACTTGGCCAGCTCTGACTGATTATAGACAGCTCCCTAGTTTGATATGTCATTCCTTACATCTGATTTAAAAATCTTTTCTTCCAGACTGGGAAAGCTACCATTACCAAGTGATCTGTTAAAAATAATCAAAATCGGTTTTGTAAGTACACATAAGCATTTTTTCAGGATACCATCTAGCCCCACACATAATCGATTTTTACATCTTGAAATAGCATCATAGACTTCAGTTGCTGCATGTGTTATAGAACTCAAACAAACTGTGAAAACTAAAAGAAGGTAAAGTATCTGGTTGTTCATATGCATAGACTGATGAGAAATATTCTGCAAACATATTAGCAGAGTCCTTGACATTTAAGCCAATACTGTCATTACAGACCATTCTAGATGGTAAATTATACCCATTTCTTTTGATTTTAATATAAGACCAAAAAGATCTTGGATTTTCAGAAATGTTGGTTTGTATCCTATCTAAAAACTATTTCAGACACAGTGTGTTTTTAAATTTCACACTGATTTCTCAAAGACGCAAAACGGTAATAATCATCTTGCTGACCACTAATTTTAAATTATTTGTGGGCCTACATGTTACTCAGTTCTGAGGAGAACCAAGAAAGAATAGTTGAGATTTTATATTTCGTTAGTTGAATAAAGTGTTCTATCAGTGAGTAAATTATGTCATAATAAAAGTCCAACATACATATTTAAAAACATAGTTTTTCTCAAAACTTTAATCTCTGGATCTAGTGGGTTGATTTTAATAACCCTTGATGCATTTTGTTTGTTTTTGTTTTTCTATGATAGTTTAACAAAATTTGACAAAAAAAAATAATAATAAACTTTTGTGACTGAGAAAGTCAATTTTTGAACAATTTTTTTAAAAATCTGCTATTTTGTTTTGTTTTAAGAATTTTCATTTTTTCTGGTAAACTATCATGTAAGGGCACTTCTTTTGAAGCAGTAATTTTTGGATGAAAAATTTATAGCACAATCTTTAAAATTATATGAACAATTGTAAAAAACAGATTTTTTTGTAATCTTCAATAGTTACATAATCATACAAAAGAAATTTAATTGCCACATACAGTGGAACCTCTATTATCTGTCTCTCTATTAACTGTCACCTTTGTTAACTGTCAGGGTCCATACATAAGTTATATTGACAACATAAGTAAAAATTTAGTCATCAATTAATTTTTTTTTTTTGAGTGAAATTATACCACCACCGCATTTTTTTATGTAAATAATTATTGATGGATTCGACCGTTACTTGATGGAAATTCATTTTATGTAACAATAAAACACTGAAAACTTCACATGTGCAGTCGCCACATTGAAGTTTGTACACACCACTATTTAAATGTTTTTATTTTGGCTCTTGTTATTTTTAATATATTTGCCTAGGTTGTTATTTGTTCGGAAAGCTGGTGTTATTCCTTTCTTTTTTATGTGTTTGGCAATTTTTGTTGTTATTTTGCCTGTATATGTAATCGAGCAGAAGGTACTGGGTTTTTTCTCTGGTGGTGGAAATACTAATTTCAGGGCATTCTTGTATAGATTTTGATTTAACATTTTATTAATTGTTTGTTCGTTGTATCCGTTGTTTACTGCTATTTGCTTAATTATATTTAATTCTGTCTCAGGTTTATGAAATATGGAGAAGTCATGTTTGTTTTGAAGTCTGCTAATTTTTAAACCTAAAAAATTTATGGATTGATTTTGTTCTGTTTCTATTGTAAATTCAATATGACTATGAAGTGAATTAATATATGATAAAATTGGTCGAGTTGCCTGTTAGTTCCTGTGAAACATACCAGTATGTCGTCTACGTATCTCCACCAATATAAAAACTGTTTGAATACAGGATGTTTTGAAATCTTTGTCTCTAGACGATCCATAAAAATATCTGATAGCAATGGGCTTAGAGGATTACCCATTATAAGTCCTGCACTGTAATTTGTATAAATTTTATTATTAAACCAGGACTACTTTGAATTTAATAATACAATATTTATACAAATAACAGTGCAGGACTTATAATGGGTAATCCTCTAAGCCCATTGCTATCAGATATTTTTATGGATCGTCTAGAGATAAAGATTTCAAAACATCCCGTATTCAAACAGTTTTTATATTGGTAGAGATACATAGACGACGTACTGGTATGTTTCACAGGAACTAACAGGCAACTCGACCAATTTTTATCATATATTAATTCACTTCATAGTCATATTGAATTTACAATAGAAACAGAACAAAGTCAATCCATAAATTTTTTAGATTTAAAAATTAGCAGACTTCAAAACAAACATGACTTCTCCATATTTCATAAACCTACCCATACTGACACAACTATACACAATTCGTCATCCCATCCAACACAACATAAACTGGCAGCTTATCATAGTATGTTACATAGATTAACAGAAATTCCGATGTCAAAATACAACTTTGAGACAGAATTAAATATAATTAAGCAGATAACAGTAAACAACAGATACAACGAACAAACAATTAATAAAATGTTAAATCAAAAACTATACAAGAATGCCCTGAAATTAGTACTTCCACCACCAGAGAAAAAACCCAGTACCTTCTGCTCGATTGCATTTACAGGCAAAATAACAACAAAAATTGCCAAACACATAAAAAAGAAAGGAATAACACCAGCTTCCCGAACAAATAACAACCTAGGCAAATATATTAAAAATAACAAGAGCCAAAATAAAAACATTTAAATAGTGGTGTGTACAAACTTCAATGTGGCGACTGCCCAAAAACTTACATCGGTCAAACTGGTAAAAACTTTGATAAACGAATAGCAGAACATAAAAGGGCTTTCAAGAATAGAAAAACAGATTCGACATACGCACTTCACCTTCTAGATCATAATCATTCTTTTAATGACAAATTTTAAAATTCTTCACATTCAAAATAAAGGCCTTAAGCTATCTTTGTTAGAATCTATGGAAATCAACAAATTAAAAAACACAGATATAATTCTGAATGACCAACTTGAGACAAACAGTTCTCCCCTCCTCAACCTATTTCATTAGAGACTATAAATTTGTAAACCCAAGCCAAAATAGATCACTTGAGAAAGGCAATCAGCCGAAACAGCTGTAGTGATAATATTTAAAATAAATTTTGTGGAAGTTTGAAAACAAAGTTTTCAGTGTTTTATTGTTACATAAATAATTATTGTTCTTATTCAGGGCTCTGGATTAAATTTCAATTTAAATGTGTAATGATAAATGATACCATGCTTTTAGAGTGTCCTTTTTAGAATCACAAGCGGAAAATAAAAACACAGAGCACAATAATTACTACATAATTCAGTTTGATTCAAATTCGAACATTGTTTGTGTCACTTATAATCAATGATTTAAAGAAAAATTCTGATGGAATTGAAAAGTATGCTTCGCAATTCAATCATTGGATGGCCGAATGAAACATTTTGGAGTGCATATAAATGAGATCTGTAACAGGTTAGCATCTATCTGCTACTCTTTCAGAATAACAGCAAATTATTTGGACGAAAAATGTAAATGAGTTGTATATTTTTCAAATTTTCATTCTGTAATGCGATTTGGAATAGTTTTCTGGGGGGGAAGTGGTAACGCTGAACAGGTTTTTATATTACAAAAAAGAGCAATCAGAACTCTACTTAACTTGAGATACAGAGATTCATGTAGAGGTAATTTCAAAAAGCTAAACATACTAACAATGGCTGGAACATACATATATGAATGCTTACTTTTCATTTTTAAAAATAGACATAAATTCTTGAAACACATAACAAACCATAATACTAATACACGAAACAATCTAATAAACTATAATATACCAATACATAGACTAACAGCATCTGAGAAAACCACAGAATATACCTGTATTAAATTCTTTAATAAACTGCCTTACAGCATCAAAATAGAAACTGACGTAAATAAATATAGAAAGTCTGTTCAAAAATTGCTCATACACCTTGAACCATACAAAGTGGAAGAATACCTTTACACTGTTATTATCATTATGTTTTAATATTACTTTTATGTTAAGTGTAGATTGTTACAGCAACCATTATAAATTGTAACTGACACCATTCTCTCTATTGACAATTTATATTTGTATGTAACTTGTGAATCCTGAGAATAAAGCTTTTTTCTATTCTATTCTATTCATAGTTAGACAATGAAAAATGTCACAAATGAATTACTCGACATGGTACGACATGACACTCTGTATTTGTGGTTCGTTCAAAAACGAAGCCAGGGTGTTCCTTGGTCTGGACCAATTGTTGGCGAAAAAGCATTGTTTTTCAATATGAAACTTAGGATGTTCGATCAAATGGCGATCCTTCGATCAAATTGATTCGACTTTACTAACATAAATCCCTCTTATATTTTCAAATAAAACATACAAATACAATTTAAGAGTAATACTATGAATTTTTTTTAATGTTCTATTAACCATCTTTTCAATTATCTGTCATACCCTTGGTCCGGATCTGATGGATAATCGAGGTTCCAGTGTATAATAAATAGGATACAAAAAAAATGTTGAAAATGTGTCATTTTTTAGCATTCTAGACAGTAATAGTACCATAATTGAAAAAAATATATCAATTATGGATAATATCAGCAAACTGGAAAAGACTGTAAAAATAAAAACTTACTTGTCATTCCTTATTAATTGAATGGTAAGATACAACTTTCATCTTCTTGGGCCTCCTTTGCTGAATAGAACCTTCAAAATCTGATGTATCTGACTCTGTTTCAATAAATACATCATCTTTAATATCCCCCGTTGTTTTTGCCTTTTCTAAGGTGCGTACTGAAAAACAAAAAGTTACTGCAAAACTTAAAAATATACATAAAATAATTGAATTTATGATTTCTAACATTCTCAAAAAATGAAAATATGAGCCTTACTTTGAGCCTCTAACAAATTGTTTTGCCTCTTTAGATCTTCAATGTCTTGTTGATGGGAACTATTCTTTTTTCTCATAAAAACAATATATTCCGCTGCCTTTTTTAAAATTTGAGCTCGGCTAGCCTATAACAGAATCATCAAATTGCACGACTATCTGAGGAATCCACAAACAGGAATAAGGTGAAAGCATTTTTTTGAAAACTTCATTGCATTTAAGGTTTTTATTAAGATTAAAAAGCAGAACAAAAGCAAATATATTGTTGTATGTATGATAATCAATAAAGTGCTTACACCAACTTTTCTTGGAATGACTTACCACTTTTTCTCCGTTCAATGCAGGTACAGAATCTCTTAAACTACTAAAACTGTCTTTTATATGATCACGACGTTTTCTCTCTAAAGCATTATGGTGAGCTCTCTTTTCTGCCTAAATACAAAATATTTATATTATAAAAGTTGTAGTATATTCCTTCTATACACCTTTTAAGTGATAAAATTGATGCTATTGTACACAATACAGATTTATTGCTTATATAAGAAAACAAACAATGCACTACAAAAAAATAACACCCCTGTCACAAAAAGACTTCTTACCTGTGAATAATATTGACCTCCTGCATTTTGTCTGCTTGTTGCTTGACGCGAATCGGAGTCATCACCTTCCTAAATATAAAAAGTTTGGAAATTTAAAATAAAAATGAATGTATTGATCCAGGATATGTTATTGTTAGGAAAGATAACTTACATCACTTTCCACATCTATGTCTCGATCATCATCGCTCATTGTAACAATTGGGGAAATTAAAAATTAGACTGTAAATACGATTATATGACGGTAGAAATAGTGACCGATCTTTAATTTCTACAAGTAAAGTCGAAAACACTTTCACAAAAATCTAAAGTTTTTTCGTCCATGCAATATGCCTGACAATAGAACTTGTGACAGCAACAAGCATGAGCAACTGACAATTGAAAGTATAAACAGTGCTGCCACGTGCCTGCAGTTTGGTTCTGATCCAAGGTTAGTAAAAGACAGGTTGCATGATAACAATGACATTGACAGAATGAAATATGTCATCGTGACGTCACCCAGAGGTTCAATTTTACGAATTTTTTGATAACAGAATAGGTTTAGAGAATATATTTTGTTGTTAAATATCGTTAGTGTTTTTGTTTATGTTTATGATATCACTGAGTGTTTTTTAGTATATAACTTGGATATATTTAATGTGGTTGCGTTAAGCACCTACTTACTGGATTTTATTTCTGCTGTGTTATATGGTAAAGATAACATTGGCATTAATGCAGGAAAATGTTTAACACAAATTAATTCAAATATTTTTTTATTGATTTAAGTTTAATTAATTTAATTTTAATATATTAAGCTTAATTTAAGTTCAACTACAAATAATGTTAACAAGAAAACAAAGGCTCGCTGGTTTCAAAAAGAATTATCAAAGGGCCTTTAACCTAAGGCCCTTAAATAGTATATTTGCATGCGTGTCACATATATTATGTACGCAGGAAAGAATCTACTTCTAATTTAATTAAGTAGTAGTAGTAGTATTTTACTATATATATTTAGTTGCAATTATATTCTACTATTTCTGTATCAGTTATTAAAATAATTATAGTCAGAATGATCACCAATATTCGAAACGAATAGGCACCAAAAGAACAAGAATTTCTGTAACTATGTAGGTGTCTCCCACATTTTTTAAAAATTAAAAACGTATTTTTTTAATACACATAGATTATTATATTTTCAATAATTACTGTTTGCCCACTTCAGTTCAAAGAGAAAAGTAAATGGATATTAAAACATCCATATGACGTCATTTTCGCTATTGTATTCTCGATGCTAATTGGTGTAAGTTACAGACAACCTGTCTATTTACTAACCTTGGTACTGACCGGTGTGATGTTAGAAACAGAAACAAATATACACGACATGTCATAGGCGGAGTTTGCAAATAAGTAATATTATTTTGTAGATTAAATCCACTGATTTGTTGTTATTAGTTTGGTATTTCCGAATATTAATAAATTAATTATACTACTTATGAACAACTAAATTAAAACTTTTCATTTTATAATAGACAGACTGTTAGCAGTAGTGTACAATGAGTAGTATAGATTGTGGCTGAAGATTCATTGAATTTTAGCTTTTGAATGAACGTGATGCGTGCTGGAAATAAATAAAAATTTCATGTTAAAATAGTTATTATTCTGATCAAATAGCTGGTAATAAATATAATAATTAAGTACTTTAATGTAAGTGAAAATTATAAAATGGTTCAATTTAAAATCTGTGTGGGACCTTAAGAAAAAATCTAAAATCGACCAAACAATTTTTTTCCTAAAAACAGCTATATACACTTACCTGGAAACTTTGTTGCTAATCTATCGGAATTCCAGAAACCATTTCTGCGAGTGTATAGTTTAACTTGAGTCACTTGGATACAATTTAAGTTCTAGTAGTCATTAGAACCTGTTCAGAATATTGTAGTATTTGAAATCTGTTTAAAACACATAGTTTTTACTAAATGAGTGGTAATTGGAAGGTATTAATTTGTTTTTATCTTTGTAATTTGACTTTTATTTTGAGATATTTTGTTAAGCTACAAAGTATTTACATTTTTAGTTGTTAAATTTTACCGTTAATAAGTTTTACTTTAAATAGAATAATGGAAATTGACAAAGAAAGAAAAAAATAAAAGTTAATAATGTGTGTATTTAAAAAAATGTCGATACAGTATTTGGCACTTGTTCATTACCTTATTTTCTTAAACTAAGCATGCTGAATGTTATATTATATAAAACAAATATACATATATGTACAATGATATAAAAAAAATCATTTAATGACAACCACAGCTTTTTACCACCATCTTTTTGTACTTCTTGAGTATAACATTGTGATCATCTAAGTAATATAAAACTGAGATTGGATTTAACCTTGTTGGTGCGCAACACGGTTTCGGGAATCTCAAAGGGTTCATCAGGTGGACCAATGTCTGGACGATTGCATGGTTGGTGGCATTCATGTGAGCATTTAGAGGAAAATTGCATTCTCCGGCGCAGTAAAAGGCGGGATAGCCATCTGGAGCTATTATCCAATCCTGAAAATATTAATTAATATTAAAAAAACTTCTATTTACTAGAATTATTCTAAATAAAATATTTAAACGATTACATTACACAGAAGGGATAATCTTAAGAGTAAAACATGAAAAGTGAGTACTATATCTGAGAAATATAGGAAATGTGTGGTAAAGTGTCAACAAAAAACATAAAAAACTTACTGTCCAAGATAGATCCTTGAAATTGATGTACAAGGTTTCAATGCGACAACTTCTTCGTAGATCTTGTCTATTTTCATTTTTAACTAAAAAGGCAAAAAATATTCAATTAATTTACTATTGTAATAGGAATATAATTAAAAACATTAGGTTATGGGACTATATGCCATAGTCTGTGCTTAATTTTTCGTAACATTTATTCTGTAGCTATGTTAAGGTTTAACTTTTCAAAAAATGAACCTTTATTGAGTACTAGTGAACAAAAATACCACAATGTGTGATGAATATGGCCTTAAGCTAAACACTGCAAAGACAAAGGTGATGGTCGTCAGTAAAACGCCAATACAACCGGAAGTAGTAACAGCTTATGGTGAACAACTGGAGAGAACTAACAGTATCACTTACCTTGGCTGTAATCTAAATGAGAACTAGGACATGAACTAATAAATTAGAATACGGATAGAGAAGGCTAGAGCTGCATTCTTTAAGATGAAGAAACTGTTATCTGGAAACATATTACTTTAAGTCTGAAAATTAGATTAGTGAGATGTTATGTGTTCTCTACTCTTTTGTATGGTGTTGAAGGTTGGACTTTGACGGATAGACTTCTCAAGAAACTGAAAGCCTTCGAAATCTGGGTGTATCGGAGAATCCTATGAATAAGTTGGGTGGATAGAGTTCGTAACGAAGTTGTTTGGCATCGATGGGAAAAGTTACGGCAGTTGCCAAAACAGTTAAAAATCGCAAACTTGAATATTTTGGCCATGTTATGCGCCACCCAGAGAGATATAATACACTCCATTTAATAATACAAGGCAAGGTAGACGGAAGTAGGGGGCCAGGTCGAAGAAGAACGTCATGGCTTAGAAACCTGAAAGTTTGGTTTAACAGATCCTCTGCATCTCTTTTCCGAGCTGCCGTCAACAAAATTACTATAGTCAATTTGATAGCCAACGCTTGATAATCCAGCACGGCACATGAAGAAGAAGTGAACAAAAACATAGACTTTACCTTTTGAATATCCAGTCATAACACTATTGAATGTATCCTTTTTGGTTCTAGTCTCTCTGGTTACCCTCGGCTTGATATTGTTAGCTGCTCTAAGAAAAGCTACCATAAATGGTTGTTGTTCATCTTCAGCTTTTACAGTTACGACTCCTATATCTTCTGGTCTGACTTCATGGCCTAAAATTATTAACAGTATAGCAGAATCGTATGTTACATAAAATAATATTCAATTATTAAAAAATTAGTAAAACATTAGCACCACTTGTGGAAAAATATTTTATTTATCAGGAAAAATATATTTTCGCTCCTCAGTTATTCACAACAAATTTGTTATACACTTAAAACAGGATATATCCCTCTGATTTTAATTATTTATTATGTTATGGAAAAAGCAATTTCAACAAAAATGCAATGGGCATTTTAAAAAACTAAAGAAAAATAAATTTGGTGTTCTAAGAAAGATCAGAATTAACTATTTCTTGGAAATAAATGAGTTATTTTACCTGGTCTACTGACTGGATGCACTGACAGGTAAAGGCCTTTGTTGAGATTAGGAAATGCCACCCACGTGGCTAGACATCTAGTTAAATTCAAGCTAATCCATCCTGTAAATCCAGCTGTGACATTAGTGGCTGATATGTACTCTAATTCTTTGTCTCTGAAAATTAAATACAGGAAATTTTTGTTTAATTAATTTTATTAATGCCCTGCATACAAAAGTAACATAAACTTAATAGTAAATAAAGGTATTTTCAAGATTGGTAAATTTGAATCAAAATATTTTTTCTAAAAAGACTTTATAATAAAAAAAGATCACTCACCCTTCATCTGTCTTTATAAGTTGATACACTGTTATAGTATAAACTGCATCTAAATTTTTCATGTCCTTTCCATTACCTTTGTAAATTCTTAATTCAGCTCCAACAACATCTTCAGCTACTGGTACATCGCTAGCGTTGAACCAAAGTCGTTTACCCCGTTCATGTCTTACATTTGGAACATGGTCATCTGCAATAGGGAAGAATGTAAAATTTTATTAAACAGGAAAAACTTATTAACTTTAATCGTTTCCAATCAAACTTTCTCAAAACAGAAACTAGAAGCATTCCTAAGTAACTAGCGCTGAAAAGCTTTTAAAAATTGTAAAATTGTGGCATATCTATGATCTGTTGAGAATTATAGTAGAAACAGGGTATATATTGTACCTACTGAGATTAATACTAAATGCACCATATAGTTGCACAAGTTACCATGAAACGATCTCAAAAGTAAATATCGAAGAATATTCATACACTTTAAATTGTCAAGTTCTGGTTGAAAAAGACCTATAATAAATAATATTACCAGACGTACATTCTATATTCTTTGATATTACTACAAATTAACATCATAAAAGATGTTTTACTGAATATTCTATATATAAACAAAGAGTATTACATACTTGCACTTTCAAAAGTCATAATAATATCACTCTCGTCTATTTGGTATTGTTCTTCTCCACTTAAATAAACATCAACACTTCTTTTAGACCTTTGATCGTCTTCGTTCTCCGGATTCATCAGAGTTTTATAAATATCTAACAAGAATCTCGGGGCTGACCTTTTCAGCGGATTCTTACTTATTGTCCTTGGTCTCTTAGGTAAGCCTAAAAGACTCAATATCTCTAATTCTATTTCCCGTTTTTCATCTCTGGTCATGGTCCTCTCTATGGCTGTTTGATCAAAACCATTATCTATATAAATTCCCGACCGTGAACACGACGATAAACTCCAAAACGTAAAAAACAGTAAACAAGCTAACACAGACTGCATGTTGTCAAAGTTGTTTATTCACACGCCTTCCCACGCGAATTTGATAAGAAAATAATGTAAACAAACAAAAATTATTCGCAATGCAACGGCACTAAACGAGATATTTAGCTCACTAAATTTCTTGTATGCTTATTGCTTATAGTGCAACAGACATTCCACAAATAGTTAGAAATTTCTAAAGCGTACTTAAGCTTAAGTCAAGCAAAAGTTATGTGGGCAGGTATATAAACTATAAACAGGTTGTTAAGAAGAATGCAGGGACGGCTCTGCACTTCACTAATCCACAGATTATTGTACATAAAAACTTGTGTAATAATTTAAATTTATGCAAGAATTCAATGAGTCCGTTTCGCTTTAATAATAGAAATTAGTTTATTATGCTTACCTACATACTAATTTGTTCTATTTTTAAACTATTTATTATATTAATTTTCTTTTTAGACACAATTATAACAGCAATGAACAAAAAAGGATTGGTTTGGTTCTATTATCAGAAAAAGAATAAAATAAATATAGGAAAAAAAGGATAAGAAAGTAAACGCGATTTTTTACAGAAATTGTTTTAGTATATAATAATGCGGTATATAGAATGTGTTTCAAAAAAGTAGCACCGTGTCTAGGATAGGTGAAAAACTGAAAAATATTTGGGGTTTGCTCTTTTTTGTAACACTATCCGTAAGATAAAGGGTGTTGAAGAAAAAAATATGTTAAACATTTTTTAAAATCCACAAGGAAAAATTCCTGTAGCTGGCTGTATACCACGTATAACAAAAAGAGGTTAATCTTTGTAAATGGGTATATTTATTTAAAAAACCCTTAAAAGGGCCACATCAATCAAACAAACGTTTTCGGACCACACAGTCCATCATCAGGTTATTAAAATCGAAAATGCTAGGTCACAATGCCTGAGCCACCAAAATATTAGGGTAAAAACCCTTTAAATTACATTTAGTTATGAAATATTGTACATTGTGTTATAAAATAACTGTGATGTTCAGTATTAAATTAAATTTGACTGTAGGTAACACATGGTTCAATTGGGTTCCAGAGCCGGTGAGAGGAAACCTCTGCACTCGGAGAACAACGTGGAACTGTTCCACGTTGTTCTCCGTTGTTCCAACCTAACCTAACCTAGCATTTTCGATTTTAATAACCTGATGATGGACTGTGTGGTCCGAAAACGTTTGTTTTATTGATGTGGCTCTTTTAAGGGTTTTTTAAATAAATATACCCATTTACAAAGATTAAACATTTTTTACGATTTTGCCGACACTACCGGCTGATACATCCAATGAATTTGTTTTTATATCTGACTCTCATAGAGGGAGCTACTTACAAGGTTCGTATTTTGACATATCTATGACAATCAGAGATTGGTGTTCTAAATTAGTAAGTAATTGCGTACTTATCCATTTAGTTCCATTAAAGAACTGGCAGAACTAGGAAATAAAATCCCACTGGTGGTAGACACGAGACTACTATAACACAGACGGACAAGAAAGTACAAAGATGAGCAGAATAATATATTGACGAACTGTTGATGAAAAAAGAGGAGATCTGGAGCACATAGAACTTACGCCAGAAGAAATAGGTCCATATATTACAAAAGAAGAAAAATTACACCCATTAAAAACAACTGGACCTGACATGCTTTTTATGGAAATCCTAAAAATTCTAGATGAGAAACACATTGATGTTTTAGTTACACTCTTGAACCAAATTTATAGTTCAGGCGTATTACCCAAAGAGTGGTTAATGTCGATTTCCCAAAAGAAAAACACAAGAGAATGCAGCGATTACCGCACTATTAGCTTGATGTCTCATGTGCTACAAGTTAAAATTAAAAGTCGTCCATAACCGACCATATCACAAATTGGATATAGACGTTAATGACACACAATTTGGTTTTCGCAACGGTCTAGGAATGCGTAGCTATTTTTTCATTTAATATACTGGTACACAGATGCCTGGACGTCAATCAAGATATATACGCATGTTTTATTGACTATAATAAAGCATTCGATAAAGTACGACATGAACAATTAATGAATGTCCTGAAATCAAAGAAGATTGACTACAACGACCTCAGGATCATATCAAATTTAAGCTATAAACAGCGAGCAAAAGTACGTGTTAACGAACAGCTGTCAGAAGAAATTGAAATTAGATGTGAAGTGAGACAGGGATGCGTATTGTCGCCAATTCTTTTTAATGCCTACTCCGAAGATATCCTGAAAAAAGCTCTTGAGGGTGAAAAGTTGGAATAAAAGTAAATGGAGTTCCCATTAACAACATTAGATATACGGACGACACTGTGATCTTAGCCGAAAACATTGAAGGTCTTCAGAGACTGGTGACCAGAATAGCTGAGTATGAAAAAGAGTACGGCCTAAAAATGAACGTCAAGAAGACAAAATTTATGAGAATAGCGAAAACTCAAAGAAATAACGAGAATCTTCTAATAAACGGAACCAACGTCGAACAAGTGGAGAAATATGCATATCTGGGAACAATGATTAACTCCACACAAATGATTACATTCAGGGGATCAAAATTAGAATAAAATAGGCTAGAGCAAATTTCAACAAAATGAGAAGAGTGCTATTGTTACGATTTTAAATGTTATGGCATATAGAACTGTAAATATTTTATGACTAATTCTTTTTTATTGATTCTCGAAGAGAAGAGTGCTATTGTTACGATTTTAAATGTTATGGCATATAGAACTGTAAATATTTTATGACTAATTCTTTTTTATTGATTCTCGTAATTTGTAGGTCAAAATATACCTGAGCTTCGCTACCAGTTGTTTACAGAAATCTCCAGACACTAATTTTAGTGAGTCATCCACGTCTCGAGGTTGAAAAACGAGTCGAGCGCCTTCACCAAAATACGAGATTATTCAAGAAGTCCGCAGAATTCTCTAGATGACAACAGTTGTGTATATAAATGAAAGATTTTTATTTGGCAGTCAGTCATAAGAAGCTCGGCAACCGCGATATTTAAATGTAACGAAACATAAATTATTATTTGTAATATAAATTAGAATTAATAAAGACTTTAATAAATTCGTAATTAGTTATCGTGAGTTTTAATAAATTAGAATATAGACAATAAATTAGAATAAAGACAAATAAATTAGAACTATATAAACTTCACACTATGTACAAAGGATTTAAAATTTTAACTAAGAGTTAGGTTGTACCCTCTTGATGATTGATTGGGGGTTACACAAAGAACGGTACTAGGCTCGGGCTTCAGTCTGGTAGAGGTATCTTGGTCGGGGTTCTTGTTACAGCTCAAATATCACGGATCAATTAAAGAAGTACTTACAACACAAAGACAAGAAGTTAGAAGAGAAGATAAGAGATAAGAGAAGAAAAGTTATTTGGGCACCACCCTATTTTTAGAGGAACAGGGAAACCTTAAGGCACATAGAAAAGGATGACGAGAAAGGTAAGGTACAGCTAGAGAACTCACGCGAGAATAAAGTAAACCGTGAGAGAAAAGGTATCGGAATTATGCGGTACACTCCTAATATTTCGACACATATACACAAAATATACTATCAAACAAATAATAATATAATTAAATAAAAAATGCCTGGAAGAGAAACACAAAAATATAAATTCAAATTATATACAAAAATATAAAAGAAATAAAAAGCAAATAGATCTTTTCCAAAATTATATTTAAGTATATTTGTTAAAGTAAATGTACTATACCAAATTTTATTGGATAGTTAAATGGCATGATTATTGCGCAATTTATTATTCATTACAAACAAAAAATATCTCTTTGAAAAATAGTTATAAATAATTTAGTATCCTCAAGAATTAGAAAAAGGCAAGGAACATTATAATTATATCTACGTTAACATTTGGCAAGCAAGTGAATTTTACGCCTTGAGGATACCTGAATATGAAGTTACTAGGTTTTTGATCGTGATCACTTCAAATCTAAGAATAAAATTTATCAGAAATATAACCTACATATAAAATAAATTGTCCGTTATTTATACGTATATATTATCCTGTATTTTTATAAACTACTCAGTCAAACTAAACCTCCATAAATAATAAGGTACACTGGACTGGAGTCATAAATCAACTTTTAAAGATTTTGTTATCACAGTTTAGTCAATAAAAATTATAGGTACTCACAAAACAGGTGTAGTTAAAATAATGGTATTACGCCCTCAATAAGACACTTGACTTCGGTCCGTATAACAGGTAGCTGGGATGACAGCCACAAAGAATTGCAGTCTTCTTAACGTAATCCCTTAGATTACCTCAGGCCGACGAAAAGTACAGGTAGTACAGATAGTTGACTGATGATCGAGGTGAATGAACGGTGTAGAATCTCAACAGGGTAGAGTAGAATATGAACGGTAAAATCTAAACGGTGTAGAGTAGAATATGAACGGTAAAATCTGAACGATGTAGTGTAGAATATGAACGGTAAAATCTGAATGGTGTAAGATCCGAACAGCACACAGAAGTGACTTCAATTGGAAGATGTCTGTTTGACAAAAGAGAAAATAATTAATATAAGACACACTGTGTAAAGATAAATAAGGGTGAATTGAAAATCCACTTACCGCCGATTGTCGAAGATAAGACCGCTTGCCACAGGAACCAACTTGGAAATGAACATCGGATTATGAACTTAGAAGGGCTTAGACAAGCGAAGGTTGAAAATTGGGAGGGGATATTGGCTGAAGGATGCCATGCGAAATTGACATTAAATTGCTGGGCTACTGGGGTTCATTTTCGTAGCTTTTACCAATGGAAAGTAACTTTCTACGAAAAACAACTCTTCTGTTTTTCTAGGAAGGCCGCTCGGAGATTTCATAATAGAGACCTTTTTCCTTTGTTATTAGGAGATATTTTTATGTACCAAAACAAGATAAAAAGCAGAGAAGAACATTTGGCGGAGTTATTTCTTTGTTAAAAAAAGGCGTAACGAATCGCTCGATATTGTCGGTTATTTGAAGAAATATGATAGAATAGATATGCAGGCATGGACGGCGTGAAAATAATTTACTAAAGGAAATAATTTAAAGAAATTATGAACATGCTTCAAGGTTGGCGAGGTGCTATGGCTGCGCTACCTGCAAGAGTGGTACGGATGTACATCAAATGAACTTTTCAAAGCAGTCGTCTTAAAAGTCCAAATAGCTATAATGATTTCCGACCTCCGTCGCGGAGATGGCACTTGAAGAAGAAGAT